TTTGTTGTATATTAATAACGGGGTAGAGGGTGTCACATTATGAACCCCTCGGTTAATAAACAGTATATAGACAAGGGAAAGAAAGAGAAGATAAGCGGAAAAAAATTTATAATTAATAATATTTGCATTACAACAAAATTGTCATATAGTGATATACATCTTATAGTAATATCGTATATGTCACTAAAATTATTTTTGCTCACATAATAACTATAATATTTGTTGGTATATTATAAAAAAGTATGTGTATAGACTATATTGACACACAAAATATGTTATTAAGGGGGGTGTATTGGATTAGGATTTTAAAAGACTTTTTTAGTGAAAAAAAATCCTGCAGATTTTAAAAGACTTTGCAAGATTTTCATGACTTTTAAGATTTTGTAGGATTCTACAAGATTTAAAATCAGGATTTTAATTGATTCTACATGACTTTTAAATCAGGATTTTAATAGATTCTGTGGGATTTTGTAGAGTTTTGACATTTGATAAGATTTAAAAAAAAATTCATACATTCAAATTTAAAAAAAGTCAAAGATAAAAATTAAAAAAAAACAATAATGTCTAGATAAATAATAATAATAATTCTCCATAATATTCTATCATCTTTTTATAGCATCCACTATCAATTGTAACAATTCATCGAAATCCTCCTTGGTCAAAGCTTCATAGTTTTCTTTCTCTTTTCCTTTTTCTTTATTATTTCTATGTGAATCTCCCATTTGAATTACTAAAATAATATATGTTGAAAACTAGTTATATAAATAATTATGGATAAGAGACAAAATCAATAAAATTATATTATTATTTTTAGAAGCACACCAATTATACAAGATCGAATATATCTTGGCTATCCAAATGGATCAAATATCTCAATCATTATAAAAAAAATGTAAAAACGAAAATATAAAAACAAAAGATAATTTTTTATATAAAAAAAATCAGTATATTCGATACTGAGAAAATATTTAGATATATAATCTTTTTATATAAACGGAAGTATTTAGATATAGAGAATATATATATATATATATATATATATATTTATTTTAGTTATATATTATATGATAATTTTTAACGATATTTATAAATGTAAATTATTCTAACAAATATTTTAACAATATTTCATTTTTTAAAAAATAAGCTAATGAAGGCATAAATCCTAAACCCTAAAAAATTAGATACTGCAATGTCTTATGTTAATTTTCTTTTTTTAAAATATAAAAAAATCTTAATTTCACAATATAAAAATAAAAAGAAAAATTCATAGTAAAAAAAATAAAATAATTGTTGAGTCATAAAAGGAGGAGGGATAAGAGTAACAAATTCAAGGGAAGGAGAGAGTTCGCAGTTTTTATGCTGAGAGGGTTCTTCCCCCAACTAAGATCCATTTTCATCTCATTCTACTCACAGAAACCCTAACAAATTCATCTTATATATATATATATATATATATAGATAGAGATTATGATATCAATTTCATCTTTCACCTTTTTCTTTTCTTGACGTGTGTTATAAAAAAAATTACCACTTAAAAGTTGAAATTTCAAGCATTTTTTTTGGTTATATAAAGGAACAAATTCAACTACATAGAATAAAATAAAGCAAGTCAATTAAAGAGAACGAACAGAAAAATAGAGCAAGTCAATGACACTATCATTTACATATCAGAGTTTCACAAAATAGGAGAATGGGATGAGAACAGTACTACAATATTATATATGAGCAATGAACAATAGTGTAGTATTATTAGTAGAGAAAAAATGGAGAAGACAGGAGCATAGAAAAAAAAAAGATGAAAAACTCACTTGAAAATTCTTGAAACACTTGAAAAATCACTTCAAACAATCCTTCAAAATCCGATGGGTTTGGATGGGATTGTTTTATGAATCTGGTATTTATAGATAACACTAGAAAGTCCTTCAAAATCCCTCTCACACAACAATCCTTTAAAATCCTTATATTTTTGAATACCAATGGATTGTTTTTAAGTTGTAAAAAATCTCAAATGAATACCAGTGAATTTTAATGGACTCTTTAAAAAATCTTGAAAATCCAGATTGAATACCACTGGATTGTTTTTAAGTGACATAAAATCCTGATTGAATACCAATGGACTTTTTTACTCAAAAAAAGTCTTTTAAAATTCTACGAAATCCTAAACCAATACACCCCCCTAAATCTCATCCAAAATCAACACTAGAATTATGCGTAACTATATATCAAATAGACATATACCTATGTATATTGTACCTATAATGACACTTTTGTATATCACTATATATAACATTTCTTATAGTGTTGATAAAGTAAAATTGTGAATAATGGTAAAGAAAATGAATTGGGATAAAAATAAATAAAAATAAATAAATAAACTTTAATTTCTATTCTATTTTTTTTACCTATTTTTCTACACTTCTTCATATTTCTCATCTTTTTCCTTTATTTCTTTATTTTTTATCTAACAAAAGTTAAATGTACTTTATCATAGTACTTCTACTAGTTAATAGAATTGAAAAATGTAGTTGATTAATTATTTTACTATATAACTAATTAATAAAACTGAAAATTAAAAAAATCAAAGAAATCAATCAATATTAAGTCTTATTTAAATATTATTATTTTTATATTTTATTTTAATATCTTTTTAAAAAATGAATAATTTAATATCTACTATTACCATATTAAATAAGTTAAATAAAAATATTCATAAGATTTTAATGACTACTTTTCTTAAGTTAAATAAAAAAAATTGAGTCCTGAATGTCTTTGAAAAACTTCATTTTCATATTGCCTATAGTTTTCAACTACTTAGAAATTCAACTTATTAATAGGATTATTCAATTAAATGTACTTTGCCTTGATACTTCTACTAGTTAATACAATTGAATAATGTAGTTGATTAATTATTTTACTACCTAGCTAATTAATAAAATTGGAAATAAAAAAATTAAAGAAATTAACATTAAGTTTTATTTAAAATTTATTTTTTAATTATATTTTAATAACTTTTTTCTAAAAGGAATAATTTAATATCTACTACTACCATATTAAATAAGTTAAATAAAATATATTCATAAGATTTTAATGACTACTTTTCTTAAGTTAAATAAAAAAAGTTGAGTCATGAATGTCTTTGAAAAACTTCATTTTCATATTGCCTCTAGTTTTCAACTACTTAGAAATTCAACTTATTATCAGGACTATTCAATTAAACGTACTTTGCCTTGGTACTTCTACTAGTTAATACAATTGAATAATGTAGTTGATTAATTATTTTACTACCTAACTAATTAATAAAATTGGAAATAAAAAAATTAAAGAAATTAACATTAAGTTTAATTTAAATATTATTTTTTAATTATATTTTAATAACTTTTTTTCTAAAAGGAATAATTTAATATATACTATTACCATATTAAATAAGTTAAATAAAAGATATTCATAAGATTTTAATGACTACTTTTCTTAAGTTAAATAAAAAAAATTGAGTTATGAATGTTTTTGAAAAATTTCATTTTCACATCATTCATTCATTTTTGAACTGACTTCACTTACATATAGTTTTCAACTACTTATAAATTCAACTTATTATAAAGGTTATTTGACTAAACGTACTTTACCTTATTTCTACTAGTTAATACAATTGAAAAATATAGTTGATTAATTATTTTACTACCTAACTAATTAATAAAATTGAAAATTAAAAAAAATCAAAGAAATCAACATTAAGTTTTATTTAAATATTATTATTTTTTAATTGTATTTAATATTATATATATATATATATATATATATA